TATAGTCCAAAAAGATCATTAAGTTAGACAGTACAGTCAAACTGCATACTTGTAAAAGCTACTTTAATAGACATAGTGGAGATGGGATAGAACATCTATCAGTTTTCCACGGTTTGTGTGCAAATCAGGGAAATTTCTCTTCATTTGTTAAAAGCCAATAAGTTCAGAGTTTGAACCAGGTTCTAACGTTCCAACAATTTAAATAAAAAAACAAACAAACCCCACACCTTTACCTCAGAAATAAAAAAAGGACACCCAAACACCACATTCCACTTCAAGGTCAGACATGGTCTTTTACATTCACTTGGTAACATAATGTCACACAAGTTTGTGCAATGCATATATCAAAGGATGCATTACAGAACTAAGACAATTGCTTTTCTTGCCTCTTCATTTTTTTAGCCAACCATTGCACAAAAGTGCATATTTAGAAAGACAGCATGGGTATAAACATGTAATTAAAATCTAGACCTGCTCATTTCATCAGGTGTGGTTTTATGAATTGCACACATTAATGATTACGTAAAGATGCCAAATACTCAGACATTTTTTGTAAGCATCATCTTTGTACAAATAAAAAACCCCAGTTTTTTTTAAGAGGGTAACAAGGTTAGTTTCTCACCATCTATTGTAGCGTGCACATTACTTTTGTCGATGAGAAGGTAGCGAGGACTCTCTGGGAAAAAAGGCAACATTGAGATCTGCACAAGCGTCGGTATTACCACCAAGGAAAGGAACAAGGGCCAGCTCTCATCCTGTGGAGACAACATCTTGTGAGAATAGGAAAAGACCGGATAAAATATTTTACATGCCGTCAAAAATCTCTTTTTGAACACAAGCAGAGTAAGTCAAGTGGAGTGGAAGGTCAACAGCGGTAAATTAACTGCTAAGCTGTTCAGGCTCATGCACTCATTGGATCTAAAGAGGGTTCTAGAAGACTTTGTTGCCTGTATTTATCTTCAACTAGCCTTAAAACCTGTAACAGCTGGAAGCCGGCCAGGTACTATAAACCACAAGAACACTTGAACTCCTTTTAAATGGGTCCCCTTTTATCAAAACAAAAAAATAAGTGAAAACTTTTTTTGGTCGGTGTTACCATACAGTAAGCAATCAGATTTACATTTTAATTCACCAAAGGAAGAACATAAATGGTTGCTATAGGAAAACACATACCGTCTCAGACCACTATGTAACGGATTGCCTGACGTACATGCTTGCTTGTACTGGGTCTAAGACTCACTAAATAGTAAAGCAAGGATGAAGACCCCAGAGCATGCACCTTTTAAAACAAATATGTGGTGGCAATTTCCATCTCTGTCCCATTACATTCCATTTCAAAATAAAAGAGACTCCAAAGCCACTTGTTGTAATTTAATAGAATTAGTGTGTACTATATTAAAATCTAGCCCGAGAGAGATTTGTTTTTGTTCCTACTACTTCAGCCCTAGGTAGCAGCACTTTTGACCATTCTACTTCACTCATTATTGACTCAGTATTATTTCCTGCTAGATTCTCTTTTTGGCTCTTTAATGGTTTCTTTTCAGAACCTTTAGCTCTCAACCATTATCTCGCAATCAGCCTGCCTCAGCTACCACTGAATGGTGGCATTTCTTCAACTCTTCCAGTCTTTGACCAAGCTATTGGCAAGCTTTTGCGAGTCTACTCAGAATTATCAGAATTCCCAGAACAGGTTACAGATAGGGATTACAATTGTGTTTATAGAAGATAAAATGCCAGTTCCACCTCTCAACATTGGCTTTCCTAAGCTGGGGGAAGACATGGCAGCTAGAAAGCATACGTATTCCACCAGAGCTCACATGCAGGCTTTAGAAAGGGAGTTCTGTACCATTCCAGAGGTCTTCACAGAAATATGGCCCATCAACCCATAGAGAAATACAAAAAATGTAAACCCTTTTAAGCATTGAGGTCTCTGCTGCTTTTTGCAAATGAGAAGAGTGCAACGATCATGTTCATTACACGTGTTCTAGTCACTTGTAGTTATAGCAAGATTATAGTTGAAGGTGGTCATCACCGCCAGCTTTTATGTGACAATCACAGAAGGGTTCAGAAACTGTGGGGTTGATTTACTTATGGAAAATATGCATTTCACTTTGCAAGGAAATTTGCATTTTGCAAGGGAATGTTTACTTCGCATGATGGGTGTGGTGAAAATTCACTTAGCAAAGAATACCCAATCACGAGCAAGGAAAAAAATATTTTTGCTTGCACATGCTTGGATGATGAAAGTCAGCAGGGCTTCACCTCATTTAATAAGTAAAGGGAATATTCCCTTCCAAAGCCATCCCCATGGGTCTGGTTGAAGTATGTGTAAACCCAGTTACCAGTATCTTATATTAGCTGTTACTGCAATTTAAAAAGTAATTTAATAAATTTTTAAAACTGCAGTTTCCATGAAAGAAAAATAAAGAAAAAAAAATGGTGATCCTGACATGAAGGTCTTTGTTCAGACACTTTTATAGGGTAACACTCTCACATTTGTGCTCCTATGAAGACTACAAGTGGACATTTCAACTTTCATTATGCAGGTTTGGTGTACTGTTGTCACCATTAGGAAACCCTTGAGATGAAATGCCAGGCACTGCTGGCGTATACTTAAACAGGAAGTGACTACAAAGAAGGGTGCAGGAGAACGGTAGCACTGAGATGGGACACAGGCTGAAAAGAGAGAAGAAAAGTATAAATGTATTTTAGAAATGCAAGTTGTTTATTATACAGAGCGGTTTGGCAAACTAAATGGCATTCATTTAGGGTGTACATCCACTTTACAGCACAACAGATTTGAAAGAACTATAGAAGGGTAGGTAGCTTAAGCCAAGTAATTAAGCCCAAAATATTAAACCTGTTCTGGTTAATACAATTCTAGAGATTTTTCAATAATAAAAAAATAAAACACCACGCACAAAATACACCTGACCAACAAACCTGACCCAGTAGCTCTGGTAGGCCGAGAACCTGTGCAGAAAACACTCCCAGGCAGATGAAAATACTTGGCATCAGACCCAAAAATCCACGGAGATTCTTTGGGGCAATTTCTCCGAGATACATAGGAATCACACTGAGCGAAATACCTGCAAGCAAGAGAATGCATTATATAGTTAATAATCTGTTTTTCAGTAATGAATCCAGATCAAACAAATAAGCATTTAGAACACAGGGAAGCAGTTATACTCTACTAAATCTAGACAGCAGTAAATCATAACATGTAAAAAGTAATACATTTGGGCAGACAGATCCTGCAAGAAAATACTCCACCTTGTGTTCTTGTTTGTGCATGTGTGGATAGGTTAAAGCTTACCATTTTAACTGAACCTTTAAGCTCATCATAACCCAAGAGCAAAAATATACCATATTGCAGCTTACCAGTCCATTAGTTTTCTTAATTCTTGATTTTTTTTCTCATTTGGAGATCCTACTACCAACAAGACATCTCCTGTTCAAGGGTGACAACATTCACTTACTGCATTATCTATTGAGGATAGGATCTATTGAGGATCTACTTCCTGTCCAATAGCCCCAACAGGAAGCGAGAGGAAATCCCTGGTGGATGCATTAGAGTTTATGATGGCAGAACGCTATATGGTCAGAAGATGGTTAGCATTAAAGCCCAGCTCCAGCAAGACTTTATTTGGGATGAAGAATTAAGATCGTCAGGTTTTTATTTCTGTCTGTGACCCCATTCAGTAGATTTTGCCTCACTTCCTGCCCCTGTGACGTCAGTACATATAAAAACAGAAACAGCAGCTATCACTGGGACATGGAGAGCAATAAAAAAATCTTGTCACAATTTCCAACCCTATCTCACTCTACTAACAGTGTTATTGTCTGCATCTCTGTTGGATAGATTCCCCATCACTTCCTGTCCTGCCAGAAGAAAAGAAAATATCTTTCCAAAACAGACAAGACAGCTGTCAAAACCCGACAGAGGCTCAAACCTTTCCCTGCCAATTCCAAATCAAAATACATTTTTGCTGTCTAAGAATACAACAGATCCTGCACGAGACTGAAATACTGTATCCAAAATTTGCCTGTTGAAAAATGTAATACTAGCCAAAAACCAAAAACAACAACACACAAATCTTTCAGTTACTGTAAAAAATCCTGTTTCTCTTCAAATGAGTATCACCAAAATGGTTGTTTCATCACTTCTGCTAAATGCTTCTTCCCATCTATAAGCAAATCAACGCAGGCACTACCAACAGAAGTGGCCGATAGGAACCAATATCAGCACCAATTTCAGGTAATTACACTAACTGAAATTATTTAGTTACTTTTAATGAAAAACAAAAAGTGAATTAAAATGCGTTTTACGTTTTTACGAGAATTTGGTCTTTAATGTAATCACTATAGACTATATAACAAAAGTAAGATGAAGGAAGTGGGAAGCATACCCTAACAAGGTGAGGCATGCACAGAAATGGTAATGGAATGTGAAAGCATGTGCTTAAACAAGGAGGAGAGGGAGGCACCCGTAAAGAAAAAGGCGAGGGAAGGGGGAGGCACCCGTAAACAGGGAGAGGGAAGCACCCGTAAACAGGGAGAGGGAAGCACCCGTAAACAGGGAGAGGGAAGCACCCGTAAACAGGGAGAGGGAAGCACCCGTAAACAGGGAGAGGGAAGCACCCGTAAACAGGGAGAGGGAAGGGGGAGGTACATGTATCCAAGGTGAGGGAAAGGGGAGGCACGCATAAACGAGAGAAGGAGTCACACAAACAAGGCGAGGGAAGGGGGAGGCTCGCACAAACAAGGTGAGGGAACGGGAGGCACGCGTAAAACAAGGCAAGGGGAAGGCCCGCATAAACAAGGCGAGGGAAGGAGGCAGACATAAACAAGGCGAGGGAAGGAGGTGGCTCGCACAAACAGGGCGAGGGAAGGAGGTGGCACGCGTAAACAAGGCGAGGGAAGTGGGAGGCTCTCATAAACAAGGTGAGGGAAGTGGGACGCACGCGTAAACAAGGCAAGGGGATGGGAAGGCATGTGTAGTCTTTGAAGAAAAAGAAAGCTTGTGTAAGCTAATACAGTAAATAAATGCTTGTGCTACTTGGTGTAAACATACACATCCAGATCCATTTTACTATAGGTTACACGCCAATAAACGCACACACACTTGACTGGCACATATGGGCTACACATCCACATCACTAAATGAGCGTAATATTTACTTGTTCCACACTGAAAGCTTTTCTCTAAATAAAAAAACACAACCATAAAGATACTCACTGGATGGTAGTCAGCATTTCTTCTGCCTTTGGGGACAGTAAAAAGGCAAGAACACTAGGAAGTTTTATTTATATCCCCTGATCAAGTAGTGTTGACATATTACACAGTGCTTTACTGAGTGCACTGAAAATAAAACCAACCATTCGCATCAGTTGATGCTCCACAGCTTTGAAGCCTACACATATACTATAAAGTCCAACCCACCATTAGGTTTTTGGGTTGAGATATATAAAACAGAGCCCTGCATTGAAAATCATAAGGAAAAAAAAAGGGAGTACACATCAACCAGATTCATTTTCCACATGCACAAGAAGAAATGCATTCAGAGTGAGCTACACCCAGGATGTTTCCTTTTTGACATGTTTTGTACTAGAAATAAAGTTCAATGTTTGCATTGCCTTAGGCTTTTTGTTTTTTTTAATACATTAAAAAAGGCACTGCACAGAACAATGTAAAATGGAGTAACCCGCACCAACCAATTCCATTGTAGGTTGCTGTACCACATAAGGAGGCTTTTAATTTGCTACAGGCTACTACTGCATCTTACATGCTGTGGGTTTCCTTCTCAAACAAGCCAGACAAGTCTAGCAGAAGCAGGAAGGTTTGAGTTATAACGCTTGATGACAGTATCTGGACTGAAAAGCACCTTTATTAGACATTCAGAATCTGCGTTACAGTATCACTGCAGCAAAGGGACGCAATAAAAGGTTATGTTTTTTGCTTTATGAGTATGTGCTACAAGCAATTAGGAAGCCTTACCTGAGTGAATGCCGGTAATAAACCGTCCAATGATCACCATCTCCGGGGACCCTAAAATCCGGCTGAAACCCATCAAGGCTCCGGCAATGAAAACCAATGGGGAGCTCTTTATCACTGTTCCTTTCCTGCAGGACATAATCAACAATGCTGACCATTAGCTAGCGAATAGACTTATACCAGGAGCTTCAGAAACAATTGAAGCCACATATGAAAGTATAGATCAGCAACTGTAAAGTCAAAGAAATGCAGAGAACCTTTTCTCTGCCTAAACCTGCTAAACTCACATCCCTCCAACCCCAGATACTAGGTACCATATTGTACCAGATGGGTTATGATTCATCTCTGCAGACAACTGCTAGACTATGTAAAATTTCTATAGAAATTTTACATGAGTTTAGACACCCATGCCTGGCGATTGGACACTCACCCTATAACCTGCCTGGCGATTGTCTACTCACCCTATAACCTGAAGTCTGCTTTTAAAAAAGGGGACTGGCAGGGTCCTACAGAGTTAAACAGGTAACCCAAGAGGGTGCCATCTATCACTTTGTGGTCCCCACTATCCAGTGGTGTTAGCTTAGCAGGTTTTGGCAGAGGCAAGTTTCTCCCATAAACATTTTCCATTTCTTGATGTGTCCAGATAATAAATAAAATCTCCAGTTTTCTATTAATTATATCCACGTGCATTCAGCCTTATTTTTCCCTGCAAATTATACCTTTTTCAGCAGCTGGTATATGTGAGCAGGGTTAAGCATTGTAATTTCAGGCAACAGAAATCCACAATTACATTTCTAAATCAGAGTGCAAGTTTAAAGTGCAAGTGAAACCCAAATGTTTTTTGTTTAGTTTTGGAAAGACCAGAGAGGGATTAGAGTACCTGTCACTTTTTTGCAGTCTGTGTCCCCGTTCACCCTCTCCATTTGTCCTGGTGACCATTTTCACTAAAAAAAGCGAAAGAAAATCCCACATTTTGGGTTGTCATCAGAACAAGAATAGATGAGGAATGTTTAAATGGGTACACCAGTTCTGATGACCCTGGTGACCACCAGGGGTTTCCCTCACTTTAAAGGGATTTTCTTTCTGTTGTGGGTGGCTATCAGGCAGGAAGTGAAGGGAAATTGCCCCAAAAGGGGCACAGATGTAAAAAGAAAAAAAAAACGGGAGTTATAACCCTCAATTATTTAATGCAAAAGTAAAAAAGGAAGGTTTTGCCAATGCCATGCACATCCTTTACTTTATCTTGTCACTTTCTGCCCACACTCTGCATTGCCACCTCCCTGTGCTGTGAATGAACACGTTTTAATATTTGGAGGATGTCTGGAGGTTTCCAACAGCTCGGATAGGTTTTCTGACTGACACATTTATTGTATAGTACGGTGATAGTAAGGTGTTAGAATTGGTTGGACTTGAGTCTTGGGTCATCTTAACCTTTCCAGTTTCTGTATTTATGTCACCAGTACACTTGAAAACGATATTGTTAACCAGTTGATATCCGCGGTGTTAAACCCCCTTCCCATCCAGGCCATTTTTCAGTATTCAGCGCTGCGGTACTTTGACTGACATTTATTCCGTCATGCAGCGCTGTACTGAAATGAATTTTATACCCTTTTTTGGGGACAGATAGAGCTTTCTTTTGGTGGTATTTATTCACCACTGGGGTTTTAATTTTTTTTACTATATTAAAGGAAAAATTACCAAAATAAAAAAAAAAAAACAGTTTCCCCTATATTAAATGATAAAACATTTATTATTTTTGGGTAAAATATAAAAGATGGGGTCACGTCGGGTAAAGACACCAAACATGTCAAGCCTTAAAATTGTGTGCGCGCGCGAAACCTCAAAAAACGATAATACCCAAAATTGGCCATAGGCGACGCTTTAAAAGCGGTTACCGCTCATCAGTTTAGTATTATCAGTGATTGATGGCCCTAAAATGATTGCTCTCACTGCAACGTTTGCGGCGATATGCAACATGTGTAACGCAATTGTAATTTTTTGCGCGCTGGGGCACCAGACGCGTATTTACGTTTATAGGCGCGTAAACGTGTGGGTGGGGGAGTTGAACATTTTGGGGGTTTTTTCCCCTTTTTTATATGTGACTTTTATTTTTTTGTAACCGAGCCGGTCCCGGGATTCAAGATGGGGCAGCGGTTCCCGAGATTCAAGGTGTGGGGTCCGGGGGGGGGTCGTACACAAACGAGCACATATAGACGATCGGCGGGCTATGGAGCCGCTGATCGCCTATATGTGAAACACCCGTTAACGGGTGTGTGCAATGGTCGGGTCTTTTCTGCCCGTGCGTGCCCACTAGGGGGCGCACGCGAGCAGAAAAAAAATGCCATCTGGCGACGGCAACCCGCCAGTGCAGCAGTGCCCTCCGTCCGTTTTTTTACAACGGGCTGACGGCAAGAGGTTAATTCAGTGCTCACCGTATCGGTGGCCAGCATTTTACATTGAAAATTGAAATTAGAAAGTACTTTGTGTTAGACAAACACAAGGCCCGAGCTGATAAAGCAGTATAAAGTGTTATTATGTAGAAGTGCAAGCTCTTGCCATTAAGAGAAACCCATTATGTAAATGAAAAGGCCTGGGTTAATAGTGTGAGAAAGTGGTTAATCTGGAATGGAAGATAGCAGGCAGCCTTGGATGAGGTTTGAAGTAAACTATATTCTGCTCGGCTAGTCACAATATGTTCTCATCATATACACAGCCATGGTATTGATGTGAGCAACTTGGCTATCCCATGGATATTAATTGTCTGTGTGTGATCATTACTGAGAATGAGAATGGCACAGTGCTAATAAATCCTACAGAGATGAAGGACTTTAAGTTTTAAGTGGCATCCAATGAGGTCTTACCCTTCAATTAACCCTTGAATTATCAGCATTTGAGGAACATTAACATAAATTATCAGATTTACTCAAATACTCAACTTTACGTCAGTCGAATGCTGGAGGGCAGTAATACAGGCTTTGCATTTCTTGTCTTTCTTCATCTCAGGTTTGGAATATAAGACTTCAGCAGAGATTAGGGTCTCATTGCTCAGTTTAATACAATTTTAGGTACAGTCAGAATTGAAAATTAAGTCTTGAAATTATTTCAGGGAATAGAAACTACTTGCTCAGGGACTTCCCTACATGCACAGGCCCAGGTCTACACACAGTCCACCCCGCCACCTTTTGTCCATCAGGTGACCTGGGAACCCCTTTCCTTTACCTGCTTGTCATGCAGAGAAGGTATATCATACCCACTGTGGGCCCTTGCAGTGCATTTTTGACACATCATACATGTTCTTTATCCCACCATAACAGTGATGCAGCAAGCTAAATTTGTAATAGTGCACCAAAACACGGTAAGAAATTGCCTGTAGAGAACATTTGCGGCCTCAAAAAAGGAGAATACATATTCAACCACAATGTTTGATATGGTGATCATTTACCTATTAATGTCAGTCTGACCATTTGCTGTAGTTAAAAAGCATTCACTGCCCCTGTACTTGCAGATTGTGAATAATCCACTGTGCATCAATGGAAAATCCAAGTCACAGTAACAAATAGAATTGTCGCAAACACTAGGACCTGTATGTTATGCCATTCAGAGGTGGCAAATTCTCTAAGAGTGATTTTTGATTCAATGGGGGAGTCCCTTCCACAAAATTTGAAGCAAAAAAAATAATGGAGGTTAAGAGGATTTTAGACTTGCAATTGCTGGTCTTCACCCTCTGCACGTCCAAATTTTATAAATACAGTATACAACAGTGTATAATAAAACGAAAAACAATATCACTTACATCAGATGTAAACCTGAATCTATGTTTACTACATAGTATTACCAATTCAATTGGTATCACTCATTATCTATAATCACTCTTTAAAGTGTATGCGCTTACCCCAAAGTTTTTTTTTAGTTGGGTTGAGAAAGGTTAAACGCTTATTAGGTTATTTTTTCAGGTTTTGAGATCTTAGTAAGAGAATTCCCATCTTAGACAGCTGTCACCAGATCATTTGTGCCCATTGATATAATTTCTCCTCACCTCTTGCTCTCATGAAAAATTAAAGATTTAGGATTTCGCTTTACAAAAACGGAACAAAGAAAGAAATAAAAAATTGGGCAAAGGGTCTAACCCTTCCTCACTCTATCCAAACGAGAGAAAAAATATTTTGGCTTGACAATTTTTTTTTTTTGTGGATGGGGAGGGGGGGTGAGGGTTTGGGTGGAGGATTAGAACTCAGTTTGTCTTTTAACCACTATTTGGGGCTCTGTTAAGAAGATTTCTGTTTATGTAGCTGTTGAGAGTTACTCTCACTTCAGGTTTGGTAAAACGTTGTCATCAATACATGAAGTGAGGGTAAATAACTTCTAACTGAGCCCCAGGTAGCACTTATCCTTCCCCACTTTAAATGTTAAGTAATTCATAGAAGATATGACCTGCAAAGTGCAAATTCGTCTCAAGAAATACACAACGGGGCATCCAAAAATGGACAGGCATCTTGTATGGTGTACATACCTTCCCAACCTGGATACCAGAATTCCAACAAACAGAGAGCCCAACATTCCTCCCAGCGCAAACACCGACACCGTCAAGGAATATAAAATAGTTAATGGACCTTGCTCGAGAAACTGTCCATATCGCTGGTGCCAGGTGCTGTTGTAAAATGCTTTAATATGCTGCAAAATAGGAAACCGTTTTTTAGCGGTATAGGATCATGTAAATTAGTCTGCAATTCTCTTAGATGTAGAGCCCTTTTTAGTATACTTTAAAGAACAAAGTTAAATATTTAATTATTGTTAAATTTTAATGACTAGTTAGCTCTCTAAAAATGCCCATCAAGTCACTCCGTATAGACAGATCTGGAAAATATAGGACTAGAATTAGATGCAATATAAATATTCAAAATAATTAGCATAAGTTCTAGTAGACAATGTTTTAATTCTACATAAAAGTATAATTTTATTATTGGTTGCTGTACAAGACTAATATTTTTAGCCTAGTTAAAAAAAAAAAAAAACACGAAAATAACTTTAGGAATAAAAAACAAAAACCCAGATTAAAAACCAACATTTAAAAGCGTGTTTAAAAAAAATACACACACACTGAGAAAGGTTGATAGTTCTATGCATTTTCTGTATGGCGTATAGTTGAAAATTAAAGCCGACAATTTGCATAATTCTTCTATAGGATTACATGACAGAAGTTAGTTGTACACCCCTACACTACATCACGTTGGTGGTAATTATAATGAATTATTAGGTCCTGCAACTTTTTTAATTTTTTTTAGATTGTTTAGAAAGCCATGTAGGTTTACAGAGCCTTCAACAGGCATAGTCATCATCTGACATTCCTTTCAGTGGCATAACAATCACCATAGCGACCCAGGCGGCCGCTATGGGGCCCGAGGCACGGCGGGGCCCGGCCAGGACATCTCCCTGATGCCATGCAGGCGGCCTGGGTCGCTATGGCACCTTGCTCGGACAGCCAGGCTGCTGGCTGTCACTGGCGGCTGTGAGGAGGAACGCTCCGTTCCTTCTCACAGCCACTGCTGAGTTGGTGACAACCAGCAGCTTCGCAGGAGGTGGCTGGGCCCGTCATCAGCAGTTATCGAGGAGGCGGGGCCCGGCGATCGAGGGGGCATGGCCCGGCGATCGAGGAGGCGGGGCCCAGTGACGGAGGAGTCGATCGTGGAGGAGAAGGAGGCGGACAGAGGATCATGGCTGACAGGTAAGAGGGCTTGACCGCCTGCCTGAGACCCTGCAGAGCCTACCATAGAGAGTCTATGGTGGGCTCTGCAGGGTCACCCTTAGGTGGGCTGTTTGGGTTATCAGGTGGGCGTAACTAGAAATCACAGGGCCCCATACAAAATTTTGCTATGGGGCCCTGTGATTTCTAGTTACGCCCCTGATTTCTTTCATGTGTGCATGATCACACACATGACTTGGTGGTCCATAAGTCACAGTTAACCTCAAAATTGAGAAGAACAGACTAAAGGCTGTTGCTATACTCAAAATATACACAAGTAGAGATTAGAAAAACAAATCCGTTACAGCCAGTTCTGGAACCAACATGCTTTTTATTCAGCACATTGGCAAAAAAAACAAAGGTTGACTTTAGAAAAGCTTGACAATATCATTGTTCTGAATAAAAAAAAAACGTGCTGGTTCCAGACCTGGCTGTAACGGATTGTTTTTCTAATCTCTACCGATGTAAACTTCATGTGTATCATCAGCCTTTAATCTGCTCTTCTCAAGCTTGAGGTTAACTGTGACCTTTGGGACCGAGAGAGTCATATGTGTGGTCATGAGTTGTGTGGTAGTGAGGAAAAGACAGAGTCTGTGTCTGGTGCAGGAGAGAAAGCGTATCAGGTTCCCCCATGCAGCAGCAGCTTTGTTTCACAAATGTTCTTTAGGAAGAGACTTCAAGAGCAAGGTCTTAAATTTATCTTTAAAGTGTACGGATAGATCGAGAAGTGAATGAGCGCCGGTATGAGTTAGCTCACTTCCCGATCTACTGACTCAACGTGCGACAGTTTAATTGTCACAGGTCGGCTCAGATTATGAGGCTGAGTGAAAATCACTTGCCTTATAAGTCTCCTTTAACTTGTATTACATTGATGTAATCACAGAGGGGAAGGTTTACAACCTTGTCATGTTGTTACTGTCAGTATGTCAGTTGGAGAGATGTCTCCACAATGCTGAAGTGTGTTACAAAAAGAAGTTCCAACTCTTCCCAACTGTACAAAAAAAAAAAAAAGTTTTAGCTGCTGCATATGTTTGGGGCCATCAATAAAAAAAACTGTCTTGACAGAAAAAACACAGAGATGGCCATTGGTGATCTTCCATAAATGCAGTGAGGTACCAAGATGGGGTGAGCCACACTGTCCTAATCCATCTGCCATCACCAGGGTCGGTCCACATATATGCTACTGACAGTACTGCGAAAACAATTATGTCTCCAGCCTCTGCTTACAGTGTATCATTTATGGTAAAAGTACCAGCCATTTGGGTGCCACATGAATGAGGAGACACACAAGTCTTTAAGAGGCTTAGAATATGCCAGGTGAAGCGAAGGTTTAAAACTTGTCATAATTCTCTAAGAGCATCATTCATCAGACAGGCACCTTTTCTACAGCTGGAGTGGAGGGGAAAGAAAGGCCCCAACCCCCCCATGCCCAGAAATTAGTCCAGCAAGCATGGGCAGGGAATGAAACATATCTTTCATGGCATGTTAGGTCAATTTGCTTGCAGGAAGGTCAACTGGTATGGTAGCTGACCTCATGCCGTCTTCTGCCAGGCAAAGCCATGTGCAACAATGGCAGGGAAACTTCACACATCTATCTTGCCTGACACATGCCCTTAACCTGGTGATGCAGGGGCTTCTGGTTAGCTACTGTGGCTTCCAGGACATTCTTCATCAGGTCACAACAACTTTAGGAATGCTTAGGCAGTCATTCCCTGCCAGTTTTCGCCTGCAGCGCCAACACAAGCTGCCTGCCAACTGCCTGATCTGTGACACTGAAATGGAAGCACAGAAGGTTCCCATCAGAGGAATATTCAAATTTTTGTTGTGCTTGCTACTTCCACCAATGATTTCAGGCCTATTATTGCTGCTATATTTAAGCCAAGTTAAATGTAAAAAACTAAAATCAACAACAAGCACATCCAAAATATGTGGGGGGAAAAAGGCATCTCCCAGGCATGCAATTGAAAGGATTGGTTTCCTAGAAATGTGGGTTGCTGCTGGAGCTGACAACTAAGGTATCAGTTGCAAGTAAAATTTCGGTTTTGGAATGTCCCTGCCCCCTAAACTGACATTTATAGCACATGCATTCATCATACTTACCTCAGAGGGAGAATTTACCACTGCTAGGTTGAAGCCATACAACATAGAGGACCCAAAAGAGGTGAGTAGGGCCACAGCCAGCAAAGGAAACGTCAGGCGCTGCAGGAGTTCAAAAAATACAAAATAATGATCATATTACATATGTCTGGCATTGTTTTATATATCAAACATGAAACATAACAGATGACTGGTTCAGGCAAAGAAACAGGTGATGTTGTTTGAGAAATAATTATTGGTTCATGCAAAGAAACAGGTGATGTTGTTTGAGAAAGAATTATGGGTTTTCAGCAAACACTTGAAGACTTCAAACACATCTGCACAAGACACCATTTTATGAATAATATAAAATATATCTTACAACTGTGCTGGAGCTACAATTAAAAGCATCATACAGATAGATATAACAAAATCCAAATAAACCCAAGACATAATAATATAAAGCAAAGGAAAGATTATTTAAAAAAAAAAAAAAAATATATGATAGGTAAAAAGCTAGACAGTGCTGCCATATATTGGAAAGGAAAAAAAAAAACAGCAGAAAACCCACATTCACACTAGTTTGATTTGTCCTGCAGATATTTTCAAATATGACAAAAAAAGTATGATACATAAATAAATAATCAAAACATGCACAAGTGCAACACAAATTGTATCCAATTGCGGATACAATTTGAGATATGAGATATGATGTTATTTTGATATAGGGAATGGGAAGCCCTATTTTCCCCCTAGAGTCCACCAAAGCATTGTTTGTACCAGCCAGAGACAAGGCAGGATTGTCACCCGATACAATCACAGGGAGGTTGCAAAAAAATAGTATGACTATAGGACACATTACAACTCATCCAGGAACCCCACTGCTGATGAATGTGAGAAGGATCAGTTGTCAAACGTGGTTTGTCAGATGATCACTACTGATTTGCCAAGATAAAAAAAAAAAAAAGTAGAAATCAGTGATCTCATCTTTGTAGAGTATAACAATACAATAATCCTACTTTCCAACCAGCACTTTACACCTTTGGCTAGTCTTCAAATGTCTGCTTTGCCTGCCCCTTTTCTGCTAATAGTTCTAACATTAACAATAAGATCACACTCAGCCAAACTGAGCAAAATTTGACATTTTCTTTTGGCATACAGACACTCACCAGCCAGCAGCATTCACAAGGGATATCGATTTGGCTATTTTTAATTTTCCCTCTTGTATGCTACACATACCAGGCTACTTTACATGCTCCTGACCTCGTAAGTTTTTAGAGGTCCTGGGAGATATGCCATCATGAGTGGTCACTGACAAATTTTGCAGCAAGAGGCAACTGACTTGAACAGGGAAAATAGTTGACAACAAATACAACCTCTTTTGGTGTATTTGACGTGACCAGAATCCCAAAACCCTTCTAAGAACAGGGTCATGATGTTCTAGTACACAAGCCTGAAATTAAAACACTAAAAGCAGTTTCATATTATGCCTCCCATTATACTGAGGCAAATGCCCAAACAGCCAATACAACCTCCTTTTATACAGAGCGCAGGCATCACTGCTGTGACACAAAAAGTAAGACTGTACAATATACACTGAGTGGCCAGATTATTATGACCACCCCATCAGTACTTCGTTGGGCCACCTTTTGCCTTCAATACTGCGGCGATTCTTCTTCGCATTGACTCCACGAAATGTTGAAAGGTGATGCGAGGAATCTGACACCATGCCTGATGAATAGCACTGTCCAGTTCTGTGAGATTTGATGGTTGTGGAACCAACTGCCTGATGGCTCTTTCAACTTTGTCCCACAAATGCTGAATTGGATTGAGATCTGATGATTGTGAGGGCCACCTAAGCAAGGTAAAGTCTCCCTTATGTTCTTGAAACCACTCCTGCACAATACGAGCACCGTGGCATGGCGCATTGTCTTGTTGGAAGAAGCCATCTCCATTGGGATACGCCATCAACATGGTAGGATGAACTTGATCAGCAACGATACTTTGGTATGTTGTGCTATACAGACGTTGTTCTACACAAATTAAAGGGCCCAAATCATGCCAGGAAAACACTGCCCCCACTAGCTTGAAGGGTTGTACTCATGCATGTGGGGTGCATGCTTTCATGCTGTTTCCGCCAAATTCTCACTCTGCCATCTGCATGATGCAACTGGAAACGTGATTCATCGGACCACATTACTTTTTTCTAATGCTCGACTGTCCAATCCTTGTGTTCCCGTGCGAATTGGAGACGTTTTATCTTGTTAACTGCAGACAGCAAAAGGTGTTCTAACAGGCCTTCGGCTTCCATATCCCATATGATGAAGTGTACGGCGAACTTTGCGTTCAGAGATCATTTGAGAGGATCCCTGATTAAAATCTGCAGCAATTTCATGCATTGTTGCCCTTCTGTTGTCTTGTACCAGTCTTGCCATTCTCCGTTCTGCCCTAACATTGACTAGTCGCTGACGGCCACAATTTGCACGTTCAGACCCAGATTTTCGGCTGACAGTCCAGTCTTTAAACACTTTAACAACAGCTGCTCTTGAACATTTAACGAATTCTGCTGTTTTGCTGATACTCGCTCCATAGCGCCAACAATCATCCCACGTTCAAAGGCTGTTAAATCGCGTTGTTTACCCGTATCTTCAGAAACAAAATCACTTCTACTGTCGTGATAAACAACCTGCTTCCCTATTTATACTGGTCTGGCCCTCTAGCAACTTCAGCGCGAAATTATAGCTAAATTTGCCTACAAAAGTCAGGTGGTCATAATAATCTGGCCACTCGGTGTATTTCCACTATGCAGAGTAAAAGAATGAATTGCCTAGTAACCAATCACCATAATGGTCAGTTCTCCGTTTCTTAAACCATTAAGTACCTGTAAATCAACATCTGCGCTTGTGGATAACCTATTTAAAAGGGGAATAGAGCAGCCACAATAGACTGAATAGGCCCTGGGGCGGGCCTATTCGGACGTCACAGCGTCACGTAGAGTGCGGAAGTGAGCACGGAGGCTCACGAGATACCGGCTGTTTTATTCTTAAATGTAAGTTTGGATGTACGTTTTTTAATAAATGTTTATGAACATGCTTCCCCATGAGGAGTCCCTCTTGATTCTTTAATTTATGGGAAACATCATTCAGCCAATACTTGGAGGAAGCGCTAAAGATAAATTTGATCTAAATACCTGCTTCAGGCTGACTACAAAAGTTCAAAAGGATTCTTATGCGGTGAGTGAGCACTGCCTAGGGGGTTTTCGTGTGTGACACTCGGGGGGGGGCGGGTTTTGCGATGATCGCAAGTACGATCTGCCTGTCCAAGATGGCAGATCGTACGTACGTTTTTTTAATTACTTAAGACAGCAGTCAGTATGTGCAAGGTATAGCTGTGGCCAGTATGTGCAGGACTGGGGCATGGAGGATATAATGGGCACTAAGCACAAGCGAGGAATACGGGCAATATGACAGTGGCCAGTTATATGCCAGTAAGAATTATGGAGGGTATGTAATGGACTGGTGTCTGATATATAATATATATTTTACACACACTATGTGCACTGAGGAGTGTAGAAAAAAAAAAAAAGGACTACAGAATATTTGTCCATGGGTAGCATGTGCAAGAGAGTATGTGTAGGAAGAAAATGTTACATAGTATTTGTATTTGGGGTTAAATAAAGACATACGTCCATCAAGTCCAACCCATATAGGACCCAGAATGTGCAGAAGAGGAATACAGAGAGTATGTCAGTGGCCAGCATGTGTAAACATGTAGTGCAGAGGGTATGGTAGTTGCAATTATATGCTGGACCAGGGCCGTCTTTATTGATTGGACCCTGGGCAAACAATTTCTTGGAGAGAGAGAGAGACAGGAGAGAGAGACAGGAGAGAGAGA